CATGTTTGCTAAAGTAGGATTATGTAACATATAATTTATCAAGATTAGGTGCATGGTCCTGAAGAGGACGGGGAAAATGTAAATATGCATTGATAAAATTGAGTTAAGTTTTATTGGCAACACCAATCTGTTAACAGTTTTCTGTAAATTTGAATATTACTAATGCCCAAACTGCATATAACGATGAATAATTGCACATCTTGAGTATAATGTTAAGACATTTAATTGTTCTAAACATAGTCTATTACCTCATATTTATGCAAGTTGTTTATATAACTGAGAAGATGGATCATCAGGTATTCTTTTCCATGTGAGGAGGCAGCAGCTGATCTCTATGAAGCAAAGACAATGGGGATATTATTTTTATAGAGCTTTATATGTACCACATCGGAATAAGATAATGTGTAGACAGCCGAAATCTGCTACATAAGCAAATTTTAATTAAGTTGTTAAAGCATACCTTTCTCGGCCTTTTGGCTAAGATCAAGTGTAGTATCTGTTCTTATCAGTTTAATATCTGATATGTGGGTCATTGGTCCACACGATATTAACTCAATTTTTTAAGGGGAAGAGTCCATTAAGGTAGCTTGCTGCCTGGGCTCTTGCGCGTCGCCCATGCGTTGCACTACTGCACGGGCCTGGCGCACCCCACCAAATCTAGTGCAACTTTTTTCATTTAGATGTAGCCTCATTTATTTTGTTTCTTCATAATTTTATCAATGTCATAAATCTGTATAACAATTTTCTTATCAACAAGCAATCCCTTTCTTGTTGTGCATACAGTAATTTTTAAGGTATCACCATTTCGATTAAATAATAGATGCTATCAAATACAGCCAAATCTATGAACATGAATCACCAATAAGCTGAAACAGATACGATATGTTTGAGAAATGAGATGAAAACAAAATGCACATGTCAAACAGATCACTGACTCAAATAGCAATCTTTTGGAGCATGAACACAGCTAGAAACAAACACTATGTTAGGTTCAAATCTACAAATCCTGGAAACAGCAACAACATAGTGACGTAAACTTGATTCTGCTGAAACAAACCACCCCCACCCCACACACTTTGTTATGATCCTATTGCAAGGTATGGGACTTGAGTCCCACATCAGCTTTTGAGCTGAGGTGGGACTTAAATAACCTTGGGTTCTCCCATCTTAATAACTAGCTTTTAGGGTGTGGTTCTCTTAAGGTTGTATCACACGTAAAAAGATGGATTTAAAGGAGCAGTTAACTAGGGTTATCATTTTCCTTCTTTTCTGCTTTTGAGTAGTGGTAAAAACACCACTGGTTATTGAGACAAATAGAAAACGCAGGCAAAATGGCAGACAACATAGATTTTGGTTCCTTGCTGTAACATAGCATTTGCAAGTTTCCAACCTTCTCAACACCATTCCAGATATTAATTAATTAATTGTATACAGAAAATTATAACTAAAACAATACACATGTTATGATTTTGCCAGATAATTGGATTCAAATCAGTGACCAACAGCAAAAACAAAGCTTTTCACATAATAGTTGATTTGAGAAATTAGTAATGGCAAAAGCAGCAAAGCATTTCAAAACATAGATAAGCAACGGCCTAAACTGATAAAGGTTACCTAGCATTAAGTGAGGTTCTCTTGCCAATGGTTAGTCCAAAAAGGGGAAAGAAAAAACTTGCTACATTTATCAATTACTCATGATTGTTTTAAGACATTACTAGATGCATTATCAGAGTACTTAATTGAGGCAACAATGATGAGAAGAGCTGATACAACAGCTGAGATGAATGTAAAAGCAGATACAACTTCAGTGTGTTCTCGATTTCCACATGGTACTTCCCACACAGGGTGAGTATCAATTGATTCAGCATTCTGTTTGTCTAGCAGAAACAAACAGCCCGTGTCATCTTCTTTTCTTTCAACGTTGCAGCGCAGAAACAAGTCAGGTGAAGCAAATTCAACTCTTGAGAATCCATGTCCTAGTGGCTGCCAGTAAGAAGCCGGGATGTTACAATAAAGTCGAGAAGCTTAACAGATGTACATGGCTTCCTAGATACTTAATGCATCTTTTCTTGTACAAGTATCAACTTAAACTTCAGGGGAGTAAAAATTACTGACTACATTGGATGCCTGAAACGTATTTTAGAGACTCCGACATAATTTTGGGAATCGTTTATGTGATGTACCTGATAGCGCGCATGTAGAGGAAGTTCCATGTGTATTTCCAGTTCATCCTTCTGTTGTGATGTTAAATTAGCACCCACTTCCAGATGAACCTCAACAAGCGAGCGGTTTGATAGAAAAGAAGGCAACTCTAAATTTGTATCTCCAAATACGGCAGCATCCCTGAAAACTACAACAAAACGTGGACAACAACAAGCCTCAAAACGACGGGTAGCAGTGTTAGAAACCCATAAAATCTAATACTTAGTAATTTACCACCACGCTGCACAAGGTGTTGTAGCTCAAAAGGATCTGCAAAGACTCCAGAAGGCAGTCTTTCAACAATTATAACCTCACAAGATTTTGGAGGCCTGGAAATGGACTCTGATGACATCTTCAATCTGAGAGTTGATGACAGACGCCGATGGGAGCCTTCACCAATCAACTTTCCATGTAAAGCAGACAGTTTTGGTGAAAATTCAACGTTGCCTTGCAGTGATACACATGCACCGTACAGTATGTCATGTGCAATGAAATCTTCAAACATTGAATCTACCAAATTTTCATGTTTGTTAAAGTAGGATTTTGCCACATAATTATCAACATAAGGTGCATGCACCTGAAGAAGATTGAGAAAAAAGATAATCTAGTGAATAATGGAAAGAAGTTAATAATTGCATGATTAAATTGAGTCTAAGTTTTCTTGGAAGTACCAATCCATTCACAGTTTTCTGTAAATTCGAATATTACTATCACTTGAACTGCATGTATCGAGAAATAATTTCACATCTTGAGATTTTTTAGCAGCTTGATTACTTACTTCACTTAATACTGCAGTATTGAGACATGAGCTGATCTTAGCAATTAGTATCACTGTGATGACCATTGCCAAACATCGTGCCAGATAATCATGAAGTTCCATTGTAAATCTGAGAAGGTTGCATGGACATTAGGCACCGACTCCATTACACACGATATATATTATACATTTACGCTTCTGACAACAATCAACTTCTACCACAACTCATAAAATATTGCCACATTAGTTGATTTTCTATTGAAAGAACTTCCTACATCTATACATAACTTCCCATTACTAATATAGATTGAAGCTTATGAGATGCAACTCAAAATATAATTGTGGCAGGACAAAAGCAAATATATAATTGGTTCCACTCAAAAGTACAGCTGAGAGTATGCTAAGAAGATGATTATTGTTTCATGATAAGAGGGGACATTAGTATTATTCAAGTTAGTTACATTATCAAGATGGGTAGTTAAGTTAATGAATATGTGTGACCTCCCACCAGCATAAGCACCGGATAACTATGTCCATCAAGGCTTAAACAAATGGGAAGAACCTAGTGTTTTTACCTCCGCTAGAATTTGAACCTGATATGATCTCCTGATTCTCAACCCACTTCATTATTTTCATGCTTGCCTGTTTTTGTAATAACTTCTTAAGAATGCCTTATATTATATCCAATTAGAGTAACAACAAAAAAATCATTTTCGCTCGATATTGAGCTCTTTGGGATCCATAACAAGATTAAATCTATTGTGTTTCCTAGTATTTGAATTCAATCCTCATCTCTATATGAAACCCAACTCTTTGTTCAATCTTTGCTCCAATATAAAAAGAGAAATTTACCATGATTTCAGTTGATCAAAAATATTACTTTCCAAAGAACATCAACATATTAACCACGCCAATAAAGTAGCTGATAAATAGAGAAAATAAAGGCAATATCATCACAGTCTACATGAAATTGTTTTCCTTCAGAAAAAAAAAGTAGCAGCAGCATTACAACAAGATAAAGATTCAATTTTTAGGGTGAAATCCATCATTATACTTCAATTTCCAGATGTTAATAGAAGCTTCATCAATCAAATTGAAGCGAAAAATTACCAGAAATGGAGGAGATTCAGATAACAATGAGGTTAACGATTTGAAAGGGAAAAAAAACCCAGAAAAATTCAAAGCTGAATTTGATGAAAAACTTACCAGAGATAGCCTCTTACTGGGAAATTCCAATTACTAATTTCGCTTCAATTCAGCTGATCTGCGTTGTGTAGGGAGAAAGAAGGAGGATAACAAATCAGATCCTATTCCAGTTCTTTTTTTTTTTCTTCCTATTTTACTTTTCTTACTTATTTTTCTTTTGGATTTTAAATACATCAATAAAATTAAAAAAATTAAAAAGAATATTATTTTTATGAAGCTTTATAAATAAAATAATATTATATAAGTTCACGGAAAACGTATCCAATATTTATGGAATTCAATTTTAAGCGAGCCTAAATTATATGGATTTTCACGTTCCATTTCATTTTATTCCTAGACATATCATTCTAACGTAACTTCACAACAGATTATTTTATAAATTATGTTAAAGTTATTTAAATTTGATATTAAGTCTCTATATTTTACAAAAAAACATCAAATTATATACTTCATGAGCATTGAGACGTAATAACGAAATGTTAGTTTCTATTAGATAGATTTTAATTATGTACATTTAATAAAAGTCTGAGTCTTTACTATTCAAATTTCAATTATTAAATATATTTTGTAAGTATAAATTTTAGTAATTAAATCCTAATCATTTGAAGTATATTTATTTTTTATTTATTTACAATTACTAAATGAATTTGAGTAAATATATACGTGATTAAGATCTGCAATAAAATCGTTAAGATGATACATATTTAAAGATTTTAGTAAAAACGCTACTTCATTATCAGCTTCTTGCACCATTAAATATTTGACGGAAACTAAAAATGTTAACTTGTGATAGATTTAGATACTTAAAGGACCATTTTGAATGCTATCTCAAACATAGGGGAATAGTTTTGTCATTTCTCGAAAATTTAATTTTATAGCGTATATATAGGGTTTCGGGACTCACAAATCTGAATTTTCAGGCGAAAGGAGGGAAAATGAGCACCGGAAGTTCGCTGACGTCGTCACCGGCGAGGTCATCGAGTTCGACGATGGCGATGATCGGAGGAAATGTAGGGCCGTCATCGTCTACAGCTGTTGATGACTTCAATTTTCCAGCTGATCTCATCTCCGTTCAAGACCGCAAAGACGAGGCTCTTCAAGGTCAGTACAATTTTTCGCATCTACTTTTTCTTTTTGTTTAACGTTTTTAGTTTATCAGTTATAATTATATTTGTTTTCATGTTATAATCTGATTGCTTGTAAAAAGATGGACTAATTTATTTTGCAAAACAGCTGATTAACCTCAAGCTAGGTATGAATTCATGATTTGTCCTTTATGTTGACTATACGAGTAATTGATTATCTTAAGTTGTTGAATATTTACTCTAGGCTACAAATTTTAATGCAAGAACTTGCTTGTGTTTGAAACTTAGCAAAGTTATGCTGGTCGACAAAGCTCTAGTCTTGAGAGTGTTAATATGTTTTAGTCACTGATTATATGTTTTATTAGTTGGTGTAAATGTTGATAAAACTCAATTTTTAGTTTTTATACTTCTGTGTATCATCAGCATGTCTATATAGTTCTATATCCAGATTCCAGTGAAAACAAATAAGTATCGCGAGATCGATTCCCAGCTAAGTTTTAATAATTTCTTTTAAACTTACCAGTTTCAAAAAAATAAAATAAGTTTCATTGGTTTAAGTGTTTTTTCTTACCTTTTTTATGTGACTAGGTGGTTAAACCTTATAGATCATATTTTTTTTAATAGTAAAATGAATACTATTATTATGATTCAGTGGATAGATTTTATTATGCAATAATGAAGGTGTATTCCCTTATCAAAAGTTTTTGTAAGGAAACTGTGTCTAGATCGATCTTCTTTTTATATAGGTAATTTTAATAAAATAGACGATGAGTGCTGGTTACTTTGTTTGTAAGAAGTAAAAAGCAAGTTGGAGGGCCATTTTTATAACTTTTGTTGCTCGATAGTTTTAAATTGTTGGTTTAGATATACACTGATTAATAAGTTTGAGTAAATTCACTTGTTAATAATGAAAGTGAGTGATTTTACTCTGTCTGAAACAAGTCTAATTTTGAATGTCTTCTTGTGAACTTAGAGGAGCACCATATTTCTGATCAAATGACAAAGTAGCAACAATGTTTGCATAGATTATCAGGCATCACACCCTGGGCTATATGGGTGGAAATGATAGGGATAATGTTTCAAATATTCAAATATAGGTGAAGTGTGATGGTGGTTTGGTTTATTCTTGTAGAAATCAGGTAGTGAGAATGATGATTGTGATTGTGAGTGTGTTAATCATTAGAAGTATGAATGTCAGACTGGTTATCAAAGGATTAAGTTAGTCTTATATTTTATGTGAGGAAAATTCAAGTGGATGTGTTTCATTTACTCAAATACTGGCACCTTTTTGTTGTAATTGGTGGAAAATGCTGAAAGCTCCTTTAAATTTAGTGACATTGACTCCATTTTTGCTGGACAGAAGACAGACTGACAGAGATATTAAGTGAATACGTCTCTTAATTTCCCTTCAAAATTATGGATGTTGGTAAAGCCATGATGTTTTCAAATTTTTTGAAGGAATAACTTAGAAGCCAATTGTCTACTGGTTTAATTTCCATTTTCCTAAGAAGGAAGTAATAGAAATTGAGGACCACCTAACTGAAGACACCCTGGTAACTCTCAAGTAACGCATGTGCCAACATCATGTTAAGAAATATTCACTGTGTTTCCACTCACCCAAAAAAGACTTAAAAAGTAAAAGCTGAAACAACGTGTTTTATTAGGATCCTTTAAGCATTGTGCAATGATTGATGAACCACACATCTGAGAGATCATTGTTTATCCTATCAGATTTTCGTCTCTTATAATCTTTGATAGATGTTTTCTAGCAAAGAAATATTTGTAAATCATCCTACTTTTTGGTTAATTCTTTTTCAACTTTTGACGAGATGGTTAAAGTCATGCATGTTAGAACAGCCTCTGCATCCTAAAGTTCGTTTGATAAACGATGAAGTAGACAATAAGTGCTCCTTATTCGTATGTGAAAGTAAATGTAGGTGAAAAACTAATGCGAGCTGTATTTCAGAAGGTTATATCTATTATATTGAGGATTTTTCTTTTTTTTGGTAAATCTATTATATCAAGGATTTAGCATGGTGTTGTATAAGGTAGCAAGATACTTAAATTTGTGCTTTATACTAGGTTTCTCATTTTATATTCTCAATGCTACACTGTCTTATCTGTCAGTACTTCATGAAGAATACTCATATTTGTTAGTTGATAACTTTTAGTTGTTGGTTCAGGTATATCAGATAACTTGTGATGCGAGAATCTAATATTTTTTGGATTATTGTTAAGTAAACTGTTATCAGTTCCGTGAGCTTGTTTTCTCAATTTTATCTTCTCGTGCCACTTACTTCTTGAGAAAGGACCTAAATGGTTCATGTGACTCTTTCTATCTGATGGAAAAAACCTTTTGCCTTTGTTTTAGGCCATCAGTACATGACTCTTATAAGTGGGAGCTTTAGGGTAGCAGAGCAGTGTCACCACAGATTAAGCCAATTGAAGTTCTTAGCTCTATAAAACTTGATGACATAATTGTAAATTAGGCAAACACCAACCAAAACAGCATGAATGGTTCTTTACCTCCCCTTTTGAATAAAATAACATCGCTTGCCATTAGTCAAAAGTTAGGCCCTGAATTTGGCTTCTTGGGTTGTTCAAAACCATTATTTTTTATCAAGCTGAGAAAGGCAATGCTATAGTCTTTGCCATATTTTCTCCCGTCTTATCAGTGGAAGGTTGGAACTACACTAGGTCAATGATTTAGCGGACTCTTTATCCGAGAAATTTTCAGTTGTTAGCTGATGATATAGTTTGTTTCAGTTTTGATTCAGAGAATTAATGTTTTCTTTGTTCTGTTTGCAGTTCTCAAATCTGATCTGATGGCTTCACTGAACAAAGAGGTTAAATCCCTAGATGAAGATAGCTGGATGTTTGATGGACCTAGGTCTCGTATTCACAAGATTTCTAGGCCAGGTAGCTCGCGAAGAGCAAAAATGATAGTATCGTTCATTTAGGGAACTTGATGATCATCTTCTTTTCATGTAGGCGACATGATGATAGTGTACCTGATGCATTACTACTGTGCATTTACAGGTCGTCTTCATAAACATGTAGAAGTTGGGAAGCAGAATTCTAAGTTGGCGGCCACATTAAAATGAGGAATTATTTCTTGTGCAGAATTGCAATATAATGTAGTCTTTTATGTTAATGATTTGTACTACTATTTTTTTACTGTAATTTTTGCTGCAATGATTTTCCAGAAGCTTGAATTCCATGTGAGATTTGGTTAGATTTAGGAAATTACCCTTTCCGTTTCAGATATAAATGTGTATTGTATTGCTAATGTTACTACTTAGCCAGACGAGCGATAGCAACTCTTATTTACTCATAGATCGATCGATCTATCCACGCTAGTATAGAGAAAAAGAATATAATCATCCAGAGAGGACATATACACGAGATTTTATATATATATTAATCCCCTACAAAGGAAATTTTAAAATCCCTTCAAAGTCGAGTTTGTTGTTGTTAGAGTTCCGAGTGAGCTGTTTTCTCAAAATTGGATTTTAAAGACTCTTTATATTTTATGTTTTTCTTTTCTTATAGACGTACAATTGCATCAGGTTTTCCAAACTTATGTTGTATTCGTAGATATTCTTATACTAGTATCAACAGTTATTTCAGATTTGATTCTTTTATTCCACACTAGTGATTTAATAGGAACAATTTATGAACTGGTTGTCAAATATTTATATACAATATATGTATATTATATTTATATCCTATAAATACTTGTCTTTTATTTTTACTTTTAAATAATAACGTATAAATACTGCACAAAATTTGAAATTTTGATGTTCCAAAAAGAAAAATATTTACATATATGTATGTAGTGTTTACTTGGTGAATACAACGGGAAATTATCCTTTTCAGTGTTAAATATGGATTTTGTGTTTTGGAAATGAAAAGTTACCAAAAAAGAACAATAAGAAATCCTTCTCCACATCGAGTTAGGATTCATCATTTTAGTAAAGCATCCAAAAAAAACAAAAAGTAGAAAATAATACAAAAGTTACCAAAAAACAAACAAACACGGTAAACTTAGGATTGATGATATCTACTATAAAAATAGCAGCGGCTGCCCCTTTATTATTATTCAGAAATCAATATATTACAAATTAGTATTAGGAATAATAGTTATTATGGATCAATGGAAGAAGCTTCACGTTCTTGATGCTGGATCTTTTGGAAAAGTATATTATGTCGTCAACATCCATCCTCCTTCTTTCTTATCTGCTTTCGTTGCTGCTGTTAAATGTGTTGATATGCACCGTTCTATTTCACTCTAACAAGAAGCACAAATCTTGACAACCCTCAAAGATTCTCCTTACGTGGTTCAATTCATTGGAGCAGACGTTAGGGAGATAATATTCCAACTTACAATCTGTTTCTTGAATATGCATCTGGTGGATCACTCCATGATTTGATTAACAATTACAAGAGAGGAATGAGAAAGATGTCAGTAGGTTTCTATACATATCAAATCTTAAAGGGTATTCAACACATACATAAGAAAGGGTGGGTTCATTGTGATATTAAACATGCTAATGTTTTGGTTTTGGATAATGCTGAACGTGCACAAGTTGAAGTTGGCTGACTTTGGATTGTCGTTGAGAGTTCCCAAAGGAGTGGCCTATATATCTGGAAGTACGTTGAGCAATCGAGGGACTTTAATTTACGCTCCTCCAGAATCTTTGACCAGTGGTTTTCATGGTCGTTGGGCTGCACTGTGGCAGAAATGATGACTGGGAGTCGTGTTTGGATTTATCGCAACACTAGAGATTTGCAATCACAGATTATGAATGAATACCCTATGATTCAGGGTAATGTTTCTGAGATCACCAATGACTTTTTACGAAAGTGTTTGATAATTAAAGGATCCTCTAAGAAGATGGACGTCGGAACAACTACTCCAACATCCATTTATTCAGCAAGCTATATGCACTCAGATGCCTGAAGGACAGCTTTTGGTTGCACAGTTCCAGTACCTAAGAAGCATTTATTACTTCATCAACTAGTTTAAGGATACAATGATATTGCAAAATTAAGCACTTATAATTGACTGCTGCTGATGTATTACTACTTTACAGAACATAATTTTTGTGTAATACTACTTGGATATTATTGCATATCTTTCTAATAATAGCGAAACAGTTGCTTGTTCCAAACTGAATTCAATTATTTTCTTATTTTCTGATTTAACTTATAAATTTAGTTATGCTGGGAAGAAAACATTGTTATGCCTAATGAAACCCTTGTATGAAAAAACTACTCTTAATGGAAGAACTGGACCTAAACATTACTTAATCTAAAGAAAGTACAATGAGTGAAATGCATGATAAAATAGAACTTACTGACGAAATTAGACGAAAACAAGGCTAAAGGAAATTTGAAAAGAGAAAACCAAACATGATAGAAATTTCGAAAGTCATTTTCTGGGGTTGGGTTACAAGAAATATTTTTCAAGGAAAACATCTTCCACCCAAAGGGGGAAAATGATCGACTACCCTTATAACTTTTGGACATAAGTCATTTTTCTTCCCAACTATATCAACTCTTACTGCTCCAACCAATACTTAAAAGACATTGCAATCAATCTTTAATACTCAAAAAATTTCAACACTTTCTGTTTGCCACATTATAGTTATCTTAATAAATATACCATCTCAAAAAAAAAGTAATATTTTTACTTGAAAAGTAGTTTCTGGTCGGACTCCGACCAAATACATGAAGATATCTTTCACATTTTTTTCAGAAAATAGTTTTTGGAAAATGTTCAGAGTTTTGCCAAACACACGAGCATGAAAATGGATAACTAAAACCAAGTTGTTTCTCTTATAATCACTGCAGTGAAATTAAGATGCTCAGCAAGCTACGGATCTCAATCTTGCATTGACTTGGTACATGCACAGGATCATGAGTTCTCTCTCCCACAATGGCAGACCTTTTCCAATTGCCGCCCGAGAAAGATATGATTCTTAATTCTACTGAAGACTGAGAATATAATTAAATTACTTGCTAACAGACTAGTAGTATAAAGAAGGGTTAAGACATCTGCCTGTTAACAACATCAAAAGTTTAATTTGTAACTTCTACGTACTTATTAAATGACCAGAGAGGAGATATTAAAAAGGGAAAAAGGAAGTGTCCGACATAGATTTAGGCATTTAGAATGGTGGATCGATTCAGCTTTATGTAAAAAAATAGAGGGCAACTCCGAAAATTTTTATTATGAATGAGATACAACTTACACTAGTTGTATGAGAGATTACTACTTTATTATTATATTTGAACTCATGGGACCTACACTTTGTTTTTCTTCTTTGCCTCCTATCTCTCTTTCTTGTTTTTCTAGCTTTCCTCTTTTTTCTCATTTTCTGTTTTTTTCTTCTTGTTTTTCTTCTTTGCCTCCTATCTCTCTTTCTTGTTTTTCTAGCTTTCCTCTTTTTTCTCATTTTCTGTTTTTTTTTTCTTAAATTTAATTACTCTCTCATTTTGTACGTACGTATGAAAACAATTTTGATTTGAAATATAACTTTTCAACTTGAAGGTATATTTCAAATTTAAAAAACATGTTAGTATAATCTATTTTTAAACTTATTTTTCACTTTTGATATTATATTTAAGTACATTCAAACATGAATATTATTTCAAATATTCTTTTACAAGTGTTTAAACTCATGCAAAAGAATTTAATAACCTCAAATGAGTTTAATAACAAGTGTTTCACTATATATAAGTTGTAAAAGAATAGTGAAACACTTGTTATTAAACTAAACATTAAAAAATATTTGGCATTTGACCATAGAATTTAATATATTTTTTTACTATATTTGAAATATATGGAGCAAAATTTGAAAATAAAATTATGTTTTATTTTAATAAAAGAATATTTAAAATAATATTCATGTTTGAATGTACTTAAATATAATATCAAAAGTGAAAATTGAGTTTAAAAACAGATTATACTAACATGTTTTTTAAATTCGAAATATACCTCAAGTTGAAAAGTTGTATTTCAAATTTTCATGATCAAACATCAATTTTCAAATAAAGTAAAAAATAAGTTTTAGATAAATTTTAAAAGTAGAAGTTAAAATTGTTCAAGAAGAAATAAGTTGACGATTGGAACAGGTCCAACAAAGCTGATTGACGTGTCTACATCAAGTGTTGATGAAGAAGGAAGCTGACGTAACGAACAGGTTCAACGAAGTTGACTGACGAGTTTACAACACTGCTGTAGAATTAAAGTCGCACTAGGATTAGACTACTTATATTAATTAGGATTATATTACGACTAGGATTAGATTACGATTAGGATTATAGAACGACTAGGATTAGAGTATTTATAATTGCATTATTATTATTATTATAGTAGTAATAGGTATTGTAGTCTGACTCTAAGTATAGTTAACTCAGGACTCTACAATTCTCTCCCTATATAAGGGAGTATGTACTCAACAAATTTATTCATCAATACAATCCTTGATTTCTCTAATCCTAGATGTGCGATTAAATATGAAGGTGGAAATTTTTAAAGTACTATAAATGAAAAATGAGAGAAAAGAAATAGAAATAATTTTAGTGACCAATTTTTATGACATAAGTGATCATTTAAAGAATTAACTTGAACTTTTGTATGCTCATGCCTTTTTTATTTAATGATAAAATATTTTTAAAAAAAAAAAATCGGTTAAAACAAATAGGTAAAAAAATTGTTTTCATATGTACAAAATGAGAGAGTAATTAGATTGGTTGCAAAATAAATTTAAGGAAAAAAAAAAATGATAAAAAAGAGGAAAGAGAAATAGGAGGCAAAGAAGAAAAACAAAGTGTAGGTCCCACGAATTCAAATATAATAATAATAAAGTAATCCCTCATACACCTAGTGTAAGTTGTTCCTCATCCATAATAAAAAATTTCGTGAACTCACTCCATAAGACTTATCCAGATGAATCATGAAGAAGAAATCCAGTGACAAAGGTGAAAATAGGTATTAGAGCTACTATCTTATGGGAAGTTTCCCGTGAACCAATCGACTAAGAGATGAGATTTCTGGATTACCTCAGCATCTCTTCGGTGACTGATCATACTATTTTAGTGTTTGATGTTAGTAGCCCCATTTGCTCAGTAAGATGTTCCATGTGCTGAACATTGTACCATCCATTTTCTAGCGGCTCTGTTTCAGTAGTCTTAATATTTTCTATTTCAACCGAGCCCATCTCTTCTGTCTCAGTAGGGTATAGGCTTTGAAGAAACTTTTCCCAGGAGGGATCACCCACACTAGGAGGCTCTCCAATATCGTCAATCAAAGCACTTTCCCACTTGATTTGAAGGTCGGGGGGGAAAATATCATTTTCCAATGGCAATTCTCCATTTCCCCACAATGTGGGATCCATGAAAGAATCATGGCCCCTCTCTGTTCCATTAATATCCATATTGTTGTTTTCAGGCACAATTTCTTCCAACTGTGAGGGCACAGGCATAATCATATCTGATGAAAACGGTAAAATAGGTGGCAAATCTTGAGCTCCAACCAGGGAACTGCTCTCTGAAAACTGAATGTTGGCAGACAATGAACTTTGTCCTGCAATAGCTGAAGTTGCACTTGCAAATGGCTGCGAAAAAGCAGGTGAAACTTCCTGAAGAGTGACTCCTGAAATCCGATTGTTACTTCTGCCATCGAATGCATCACCAATCGGTGAACTTTCAGGACTGTTGCTGAAGTTCTCTAACCTAGGAGAAGAATCTAGTTTCGGTATCTGCCTGAGCATTCCTTTCGCTGCCTCATTCATTATAGGTTGGTACTTTACAAGTTGTCCATCAGCAGGGCTAACAGAATGATCATCTGAAGGAATATCTGGTCTAATCCTACGTTTCTTGTTTCCTTCCATCTTGCGCTTATTGTTGTCATTTTGCTGCTGTACAAACTGTGCCAAGAATCCAGGGCTGTTAACAGCTTTTGCCAGGAAAGACATCATCTGTTGCTGCCGCTGCTCCATAATCTGAAGGTTCTGCACCATGGTTTGCATCTGATTATCGGTAGTCTGCTGATGTTGTCTCAGCTTAACCAACTCCTGCATAAGCACATTCTTGTCCCTCTTCAGCCACTCAACCTCTTTCTCAAGCCCAAAATTTCCAACCTCGACACAAGCCCCAATCGACACACTCTGACCATGCAGTTGCTGCTGCTGCTGCTGCTGACTCTGTCCATGAGCAGGCTTGCGCCTGCTAATATTTTTAAGCAGATGCTTTTGACCTCTTAGGAATCCATCATTAGAAAATTTCCAGTTGTCCGAACCAACCTTTCTAAAGCCCTGTTTGTAGAACAAGAAAGAGAAATATTAAAAAGGAAGCCCAACTAGAGGTTCACTATTAAAGTATTACACTAACATGTCGTAATTAGTCAAGTAGGAAAAGAAAAAGGATATTCACAAGTGACTTCACATAATCACAATGACTAGCTAAACTTTACCTTAAAAACCCAAAGAAAATCTACAAATAATTAGAGCTCCGTTCAAACTCAAAGTAGCACCTTATCTCCTAATCAACTTTTAGGTAGAACGGAACAAGAAAATATCTACAGCCTTAAGAACAAGTAGACATGATGAGATGGAAGCTTAAGAGTAATGCAATCTTAGGATGCATTTGGAAAGAACACATCTTAACAACCTCGCTCTTACTAGAATTGTCCAATAGCCCCTATATAAGGAACCACTTAGTATTGAGTTTTGATTATAAAAACAAGTAGTTTTCTCCCTGCTCGTCTCTTTTTTAACTAGGTATCAAAGATAAGGAGGAAAGACATCCGAGTCTAGGCAATACACTCGTCGTTGAAGCTATCTGGCAAGTTTAAGAGGCGGTTCATTTATAGTCTAAAAAAAATTGTTTTAGTCTCATCAACAAGTCGGTGAATTGACATATTAGGAGCTTCACGTCGATGAGACTAACATAGTGACCCAAAGAGCTAACTGCTCTTTGATGCACGCACCCACATGTGATGTGGCTATCCCTATCACTCACTGATTCGTAACTTCACAGGCCACGTGTGCAGAGATCATCGTATGTGTCACGTCAACATTATTTCTGCATTCTCAGTCCACAACAGTAGAACGTGAATTTGGATTGAACCTAGCATGTTGAATTGCTCTCTCTCCTATCAACATCAAATACTGCCTCCATTTAGCTGTATACATTGATAATTTCACTCACTTCTAGACGGAAGAGTTGCGATGACTCAAATACTTTTGGGGATATAGATTACTCAGTCACCTCAAGAATGGCCATCTCTCAGAAGAAAATTTACTCTACATATCCTAGAGGGATTGTAAGCTGATTGACTTCCCATTTTCAGTTGTAACACCATCTGGATAAACAAAAAGGGTTACTTTGTCCAAAACTCGTAGCTCATTTTGAAATTCTGTCTGAATAAAAATAGTTTCAGCTTTTAGATGGGATGATCTCACACACTTGAACATGGTAGCAAAGCAAACAAAGGTCGTGGGATCAAGTCTTACCGCCACTCATTACTTAAAAGAATTTCTATGTGCTTGCCAATGAAAAGATTCAGGATGTGAGGGCGTGTGTTGAAGAGATTGGTCAGACACTTCAACACCCACTAAAAATCTTGCAATCAAATATCACCTGATGTTGTGAAATGACACTTCAACTAATCAAGACAAAAAGAATCCATATAAAATATTGTCGCTATCAATTGAAAGGTTCTCGATAACAATCTTCTTTCTACTTAAATCGAAACATTTCCGATCACAAGATTGACACCATAAAGTTTAGCATTTCTAATCAACCAAAGCACACCCAAAACATTTCAGCTAAAAAATTCAAAAGATGCTAAGCATAGAACTACGAATCACCAAAGAACCCAAAACGAGTAAAGTTAAATCAGAAAAAAAAAAAACTCAAATAAAACCAAGAGAAATGCATACATAAGTGTTCAGCTGACGAACGAAGCTGGAGAAGTTACTGTGCTTGAAATACTTAGGCAGTAACTCCTTGGCGAACTCCGGTGGATCCCAAATCACAAAGCTACTGTCGGTAGGACTCCATGAAACGATCTTGTCAGTACTCGGGTCATCAACCATATCATAAGTCTTCATCAAAAAAGGTGGTAGCGTATTTGCGCTAGCCATCGGCGCCGGTGTTGGTTCCGGTACCGGAGAACTTCCTCCGGCGTCCATTGAAGTAGAACCCATTGCTAAACGAAGGAATTAAATTTTCAATTGCTTAACACAACGCTGATCATATATGAATTTACAAATACAGAGGGTTTTGGAGATTAGAAACGGAAAATTGGAAGAAGGAAAAAACTAAGTTTTAGAGAGAGAAAGACGATTGGGTACGAAAGTGGAAAGAGAAAGTAGTTTGCACGGCGAGGGAAGAAGAAGTGGACATACATATATATATATATATATATATCGGAGGGGAAAGGGAAAGGGAAAGAGAAGCTAGTATTTCTGGTTTTTTTTTAGAAAGTCTATAATTATGGCCTTTTTGGCCAACATTTTGGAAGATTTAAAGTGTAAAAAAAATAATAATTAAAATTTGAGATATTTTGTTAAATATCTTAGAGAAAATAAGTATTAAATAGTATTTCATTCGTTTCATTTTTACTTTGTTATTTATATCTTTTGAGAGTCAAATTGGTTAATTTTTTATGCTAAATTGAATAAGATTAATTTTTAAAATTAAAATTTAGATATTTAGAAATTATACAAAAAATATTATAAGTTGTAATTTTTTTTATATTAATGTGACGAATTTTTTTTTTTTGGATATTTTCAAATTTCATGTAGTTTGACTCTCGAAAAGCAAAACGTAACAAGTAAAAGTACTTAGGAGAGTAGATTTTCCCAAAAGTATTTTTAAAAAAAACATTTTTGAGGAAATATTTTTAGCATCACTTTCTATTAATTAAGTCAATCCGTAATTGTTATTCAAAAGTACTTTTAAAATTGATTAATCAAACACAAATTATTTCTCATCTTGAAAAAATATACTTCTCGCAATAAGTTAATTTTAGAAATTTGACCAAATAAATTATATGATTGTATTTGGTATAAAATAAAATGTTCTTAACAAAAAATATTTTTTTTTAAAAAAGAAGAAATAATTTTGAATTTATCATTTTTCATTTGATAAGCATGTTAAAAAGACAATGTCTACAAACATGGGTTGTGGTGCAGTGATGGGACTGCTCCACCCTTAACCAGAGGTCTCAGATTAGAGCACTAAGGGAGTGTCCCCCTGAGGGCCTACAATGCGGATCTGGATTTAGTCGGGGCTCAAATGCGGACTTCAGACAACTGGAAAACCAAAAAAAAATTGTATTGCAAATTATCAATAATACTCCATCCATTCCTATTTAATTATCACCATTTTAGGTTTCATGTCCTTAAAAACTAGGTAAATTTATCATTATATATTTATTTAGTGTTCTCTTAAAATCAAGTTTTCAATAAATGAACATAAATTAATTTATTTTACTTAATTAATTTGATTAATGAACATAAATAAATTATTGTAATTAATTTTTTTATATTGATCAAATTTTATGAAATATCAAATATTAAAAAAAATTTATTTTTAATAAAAACCATATAAATAGAAACAGAGAAAAATGGCAACTATGAGGTAGGATGGGAATGTATAGGGGTGGTGGAAGTTGGCAGCTTTCAAAATGTAAAGGAGACAAGTGCTTGAATTGCTGAAATTTTTATTTTATATTTTATATTTTCGATGTGGATTATTATTTTACTAATTTTTAAAATTTATTTTTTTCGAAAAATATCTCCCATTATAACTAACACAAACTATTCTATTTTGTTTTCTTCTTTTTTCTTCGTCCCTTCCCTTTCTTTGTGCAAAATTCAATCAAGTTTTATGATAAGAATGTATTTGCATCAAATATATATTAAGCTATTAAAATTAATTTCAACAATTAAAAAATTCAAATAAAGTATATATCATTCAATTACAATTAAATGATTAATATATGTATATATAAAATACATATTTTATATTATTATTCTAATGTAAATACCTGTGTATAAGTATTTACGAAGTTATATTTATAAGGAAAATATTAAAATTTGCTCTTGCACCATATAAAGTATTCATATTTTCGTTATTAGTTGGAAATTGGAATATAGTGTCCATGCCTTTGCTAAACTGGCACATTTGTCCTCTTTCATTATATTTTTAAAAAAATGATTCGCCTGATTTTAGTCATCGAAAAGAGTACATACATGACAATTTTCCACCGTTGATCCGTTAACTTCAGACACATATTTAGACTTTTTTCCCAAAATACAAAAAGGAAAACACATTAACTTGATTTCTTTTACAAACACCTTACAAGTAGTTTGGTAAGTTGTTTTCTATAAGGTAGGTTTGATTATGCAATATGAAATTATAATATAAAATTATGAGATAAAATTGAAATTTTGTTTAGACATGTGATTTGAACTTTTTTATGTTGTATGTTTCCTTATAAACATAAATATTTTATAAGTTGTAAAACTATTAAAATTGTCCCAATTCTTTATACAATCTTATCAAATTAAGCACAAGTTTATAAAATCGCACAATACACTATCACAAAGATATTCTTAAAAAATACAATATTTATTGATCGAGTTTTAATTCAATAAAAAAATAAAATTAAACACAAGTTTTGGTGTACTACTCTTTAATATAATCCTCCAACATAGTACTGACACCATTTGTTGGTCAATTTGGTTGTTAAATATATTTGATAAAAAAAATGAATTTGGTGAATATAAATAGTAGGGTAAAGATTGATTTGAAGTAATGATAAATTCTATGTTAATGAGAATAATCATTATATGAGATCTAAATGGTTTAAAAAGAAATGATAGACTTATAAATTTTATTTACATGTGAAATAAATGGATAGTATATATATATATATATGTGGGGGGGGGGGGGGGGGGGGGGGGGGAGGGGGGTTGTTTTTACAAAATATAAACTTGTGGGGTCAATTTTTGTATTTGAAAATTTTCAAATCGTGTTATGAAATTCCCAAATCATGATTTTTGGAGAATTTGAGATTTTATCTCATGATATAAAATCATGAGATGAAATCAATATGAAATCACATGTCCAAACATTGATCTCATCTCATGATTTCATATCGCGATTTCAAATTGTTTTTGTTCTTCTATAAATAAAAAAAACAATTCAGTTTATTTGTATATTAATTTAATATATATATATATATTACAATTTTTTAGTTATATCTCTTAGTAATTTGATTTTTATTATTAATATTTCATAAAAAGTTATTGACGCGAAGGCTCTATTATTTTAATCAAATACTTTAAAAACATCGAAGATATTAATTTATACTTATTGTATTCCATAAAAAAAAAACTCATGATGATTAAATTCATTTACGCTTATGAAATCTAGTATACTTTAAAAGGTATATTAAAAAAATTTACCTATATATATATATATATATATGTTTTGATCTACTCATAAAGTAGTAAATCTGAAGTTTATTTCTCAAATAGTAAAACTTTTAATGGGTTTTGTTATATATAATGTCTTGATCCACTACTTTGTTGTGTTTTGTCATAGGTTTTGTAAATGATTTTTAGTTGTTTGAAATGTATTTTTCTTAGAAAGCATAAAATATAATTTAAATAATGTCATTTTTATAAAAATAAATTTAGGGTGATTATATATATATATATATATAACTATATATAATAAGTGGGAATATCTACTACTTAGTACATGACAAGTGTTGGATGATATGTGCTTAGATAGTGTTGTACATTCTTCTTTTATGGTTGTACCTTTAAAATTTATATTATTGGACAATTTAACACCTCAAAATTCTACTAATGTCACATAGTTTGGGATAGAAAAAGTAACATATACGTAAAATGTACTATAACTCATAATAATTAAATTACTTCAAAATCTAAAAGACATATACAAAATTTGCTTGACTTTCGAAATTCTATCAATGACACATAAATTGGGACAAATAGAATATTGAAAATTACATATAAAGTATTATTAACCACAATAATCAACAACTTAAAATTTAAAGAACATACAAAAAAATTGTTTGACAGTTAAAATTTTATTAATGTCACATAAATTAAAATAAAAAATAAAAATATATGTTGGGCCCGTGCTAGCACGAGCTATTGTAACTAGTATATATATATATAGTGATAACAAAGTTTGGATATTTTCTAAATACAACTTTAAATTGTATTTCAAATTCTCATGATTAAACTCTTGTTTTTAAATAAAATCAGTGGCGGATCTATGAAGGGCCTTGGGGGTGCCACGCCACCCCCGAACTTAGACGGAAACTCTATAAATACATAGGTATATATACATAATACTTATATAAATATAAAGCGTGTCATCCACAGAACAAAATTGGATTGTGGTGCCATGGTAGGAGGGCAACTTTAGAAGGTTGAGATTGCGGGTTCGAATCCCATTTGAACCTATTTTTTTGAAAAATTGCTACTGACGTTTTTAAGCAAAAAAAAAAGGCCCCAGCCCCCAAGCCCCTTTTTTTTAAAGGAAAAACAGGTGGCACATTATTTTTATTTTTATAATTGTTATTGACTTAAATTAAATTAATTGCATTACTCCTTTGACTTAAAAGTGTTCTCTTTCTCTTCAACTATTTCCAAACCCTTCTTCCTCCAAGTTTCAACTTTTCCAAAATTTTCATTACCCCATTCCGAATCCAAATCACTTCTTGTCGTTGCCGTCCCCCGCCCGTCTTAGCATTCCGTTCAGCGGCTAAGCCTCATTTGGGTGTTATTGTTTTCACTTTTCTCCATCCATCCACAACTTTTTATAGATTGTAAGTTTGCAATTCTATTTTTGTAAGATATTTTTTATTTCTATTTCTTGAGTTCTTTTAAGGTTTAATCAGTGATGATTGATTTCATATTAGACAAGAGTTTTGATTTTACTTTGATATTCTAAATTTCTAATGAACATTGTAAGACATTATTGGTTAAAAATTGTGTGATATGAATTATGTTAATTTGAATTAACTATGCCTTACCCTATTAAATTTGAATTAATTGTGAGTTGAATTGAATTTTAATTTTTGTAGGAAAGTGTTCTTGTCACGACCCAAATTGAGTCATGAGTGGCACCCACACTTAACCTCCTAAGTGGGCGGACCAAGGAATCTAAACCCCCACATATACCAATATTTTAACTACGACTAACAACAATAACGCGGAAGCTCCAAAACTTATTAAAGTAACCAATCAAATAAACCTCTAAAGTCTATTACATATTATCCCCAAAATCTGAAAGTCATCACATCAAGGACATCTGTTCTTAACATATC